GTAGAAACACTGGCCGTCGCAAGTTTTTCGGGCGACGCCCGCACCTGCGGGGAGGAGCGGCGTGGTCGTCGACGCTCCTCCCAGACCTCTGACGTCTAAGTTTTTTGCACGTGGACCCCGATACACTCCGGTCGGACGAAGGCGGATGCAGCAAGTCGGGACCAGGCCTTCCCATAGAATAGCAAGACACACCAAAAGCATATCGATTCTTGAAGTGGCTACCACTTTCTACGACCAACGTACAGGTCTGGAACATCTCTTCCCTGAGACCGGCTTTGGGTCCACAGCCGTTTTTGTGACGGTCTCTGTGCATGGTGATATAGCCTCCCAGATGGGGTCGGAGTAGATAATGTCGGAGGATCGCGCCGCATCGCCGACAACGACGATGCATCGGCGACATCGGCGAGGCATCGGCGCCATCGGCATGGAGAAAACCGGGCTCCACATCGAGCCGCATCGGCGATGCATCGCCGATGCCGCGCGATCCTCTGATCCCATCTACTTCGGCCCCATCTACTCCGACCCCATCTAGGAGGCCCAGAGGTCATAGGCAAATCCGACACCGCGCTTGCAGCGATTCGTGTGCGCCGGGCCCTTTCGCTTGATGCAAAGCAGTAGTAAGGGCCCCCAACGCATCGAGCCCACGATGCGCCCACTTATGTGGCCAAGTCTCTGCGCTGCTGTCACTCCAAGCAGAAAGTGCTCCGCATACAAAGCGTGGGGAAAAGGGGTTCCATGGACCGTCTCCCCTCCCCCCCACAGACGACTCCTAGATGGGGTCGGAGTGGATGGGGCCGGAGGATCGCGCCGCATCGCCGATGCATCGGCGATGCATCGGCAATGCATCCGCGATGCATCGTCGACGTGGGCGATGCATCGGCGACGTCGGCGTGGAGGACATCGGGCCCTACTGCGGGACGGGAAAATGACCACAACCACTGCTTCTTGTTTGCGCCGCCTTCCAGCCGGCAGAAAAAGAAGCAGTGGTTGTGGTCATTGCCCTGGTGCCAAGCTCAACGAAAGAGCTCACAACCACTGCTTTGTTTCTGCCGGCTGAAGGCGGCAACAAAAGAAAAACAGTGGCTGTGGTCGGTTTCAAGCCCCGTACCTACATCGACCCGCATCGGCGATGCATCGGCGCTGCGGCGCGATCCTCCGACCCCCATCTGCTCTCCGGCCTCCGCCTCGGAGGCCCAGACCCCCGGCAGGCCCCCACGGCCCCCGCCCGCCCGAGCGCGGTGGCGGCATCGCGCGGCGGCGCCTCTGGACAGCAGCCGCCCGTGCTCTGTCGCCACGAGGGGAGCTCAGTTTCCTTCCCCCTGTCTCCTTCTCCGCCTCCTCCTCCTCCTCCTCCTCCTCCTCCTTCTCTTCCTCCTCCTCCTCCTCCTCCTCCTCCTCCTCCTCCTCCTCCTCCGGCAAGCCCGCCGGGCGCAGGATCCTGAGGCACCTCCTTTCTCCGCCGCGCGCACGGAGCGCAGCTGAGCAGACCAGGCATCCAAGTGCTGCTCTGCCGACGTCGGAGGCCCAATGGCTCACAGATGGCATGCTTCGCACCAGAGCTGGATGGAGCCTGTCGGGAAGCCCTGGGCTGCTGTGTGCTGCGCAGAAGGCAGCATCCCCTTCCCCTCGTCCCGCTCTTCCCTCCCCTCTGCGGGGGATGGGGACACATCATCGATACAGTCGGGACGTTGACCTAAGGAACCCTACATAAGGAACGAGGCCCCGTTTTCCCATCAGTTAAAATTCGAATTCCCATCGAAAACGAAAGGAAAACCTAAGGCAAGCTGTGAAACAATCAAGGAACACGGAGCCCCTCCCCAACGAAAAGAGTTCCTTCTTCAGCGCCCCGACTGTACATCACCTGCTGATCGGCGACAGGCCCGCGACAGCAGACTCGCGCGCTCCTGAGCACCCAGGTCCGTCGATGCATGGGCGATCGAGGGCCGAGAACCCCCGGTCGCTGCCCAGGCACTCCCTGGGCCAGTCGTTGTCGTTGCCCCCCCCCCCCGGGCCGATTCCGCCCCGTTGCGCCCCTGACGTCCTTTGAGCAAGGACCGACCGTCCCGGCATTCCTATTAATCCTACCACGAAATGTTCTCAGAACCCAGGACATGTTCTAAGGACAAAAGCAATGTTCTTAGAGCATGAACCCGATGTGTAAAACCAAGACAGGCTCCGCCAGAAATGTCCTAAGAACATTTCGTGGAAGCCACACCACAAGGTTAGTAGAACACTGTTTGGTGGGACTATGAGCGAGCCAGGACGCTTCGCCACTGCTTGAGTCCTCCCCCCCCATGCCCTCCCCCCCCCCGGCCCAGGTCCCCCCCCCTCCAGAGCGGGAGGCGCGCGCCAGCAAGGCCGATGACGAGGGCTCGCTGGTTCCTCGGGGCGGGCCCACGGGGGGTGGGGCGTGGGCAGGAGTCGCGAGCTCCTCAGAGCTTTTCCTGCTGGTCGGAAGCGTAGCGCGGCGTGGTCCGCGGAAGGAGATGCCAGGCCAGAACCACTCACGGTGAGCTGTCCTCGCCTGGTTCGGAGAGCTGGCCTCTAATCGTTCTACCCCGCCAGGCGCTGTTGAGCCGTTAAGCCCCCCCAAACAAAACGCAGAACCGTCGTCGTCACTGCCAGGCCCTCCTCAGGGCCTCCCCAAGCATTGTGGTTCTGCTCCGAAGCGGCCATCGGGAACGTGAAACTGCCGTCACCTGCAGGATTCCGAGGCTTACGTTGCTCCCATCGTACTCAATTGCGCATCACAGCCCCGACATAATGTCGAGCACCCAGGAACAAAAAAACACTCGAAACAGTGTCGAACGAGTATCGCCTCCCAGGGCCCGACACGTGCAAACCCTCCAGTTTCGGTAGTTGCTGGGTGCTCAACTTTTTTTCTGATGCTCAAGGCTAAACCAGGCTGGAACATCATAGCCGGAAGCTCGAAAACGTAGAGCGAGGACATGCTACGCTTGTGCGGCTTCGTTCTTCTTCGGGTGGCTGCGCGTCGCGCAACCCCGCCAGAGCCGCAACGGACAAGAGCACGGGGGCCCGCGCCTGCTTCCCGCAGTGCGCCCCACCCCACCCCTGGGGCGCGGCAACGTCGCACCCCATGGAGGAGGAGGAGGAGGAGGAGGAGGAGGAGGAGGAGGAGGAGGAGGAGGAGGGAGGAGGAGGAGGAGGAGGCGGAGGAGGAGGAGGAGGAGGACCCCCTCCTCGACGACCCCTCTCCAGGGACCGCGGGCGCGCGGCTCGGAGGGGCGCCTCGACCGAGGGCGAGCAGGAGGGGTCGGCGGGCTATGACGGCGAGTCCCTCCCTCTTCCCTCCTCCCTCGTCCTCCCTCCTCCTTCGTCCTCTCTCCTCCCTCGTCATCCCTCCTTCCTCCTCCCTCGTCATCTCTCCTCCCTCCTCCCTCGTTCTCCCTCCCTCCCTCCCTCCTCCCTCTCCTCCCTCCTCCCTCCTCCCTCGCTCTCCCGATCGGGGGCGAGCAAGACGGGCCGGTGTGCTAACAGCAGGTTCGCCCCTCGTGCTGCGGATTCCTGATTCCTGGTGGCTGCAAGATCCTCCAGACGCAGCCTCCCCCCCATGGCCAGGCTCCTGGGGCCACCGGCGGGTATCTGTAAGAGGCTACGCGGGGGAACAGACAGACAGATGCCGAGAGGAGGAAGGGTTGAGGGAGGAAGGAGGCCTCATGATAATACAAAGGAGGGGAGAACTCGTCCTCCTCCTCCTCCTCCTCCTCCTCCGCCTCCTCCTCCTCCTCCTCCTCCTCCTCCTCCTCCTCCTCCTCCTCCTCCTCCTCCTCCTCCTCCTCCTCCTCCTCCTCCTCCCCTCCTCCCTCCCCCCTCCCTCCCTCCCTCCCTCCCTCCCTCCCGCCCTCCCTCCCTCCCTCCCTCCATCCCTCCCTCCCTCCCTCCCTCCCTCCCTCCCTCCTCCCCCTCCCTCCCTCCCTCCCTCCCTCCCTCCCTCCCTCCCTCCCTCCCTCCCTCCCTCCCTCCCTCCCTCCCTCCCTCCCTCCCTCCCTCCCTCCCTCCCTCCCTCCCTCCCCTCCCTCCCTCCTCCCCTCCCTCCCTCCCTCCCTCCCTCCTCCTCTCCCTCCCCTCCCTCCCTCCCTCCCTCCCTCCCTCCCTCCCTCCCTCCCCCTCCCTCCCTCCCTCCCCTCCCCTCCTCGGCGCAGCTCGTGAGCGCAGTGGCGCGCGGGGCTCCGACGCCGCCCTGGAGCCTCCCCTGGATGGGGTCGGAGGATCGCGCCGCATCGGCGATGCATCGGCGATGCACCGGCGATGCACCGGCGATGCTTAGTCGACGTCGGCGATGCATCGGCGACATCAACGCGAAGCACATCGGGCCCCACATCGAGCCGCATCGGCGATGCATCGGCGCTGCGGCGCGATCCTCCGACCCAATCTGCTCTGACCCCGTCTAGGAGTCCTCCATGGGGGTGCGCAGAGGTGCCTAAGGCCACCCACCGGTCCCCATTGCACTGCACACTTTCATGTTGAATTCGCCTTCCTCGATCTTGATCGTGGCTTGGTGCTGAGGCGTCTCATTTTTTTGTGGAGCATCAGAGCATCGCTGAGGGGACGCAGTGTCCCGCTGGCTACCTCTGGAAGGGGGCGCCTTCTGATTGTCAGGGCCGCTCCCTCCGTTAGCAGGGGCCTCCTGACTGCAGGACCTTGCCTGCCTTGGCCACCGCTTGTGAGCTTGGCCCCCACTTGTGGGGGGCCGCGCAATGGGAAATGAACCCTTGCGAGTTGTGGACCCGCAGCGTTCGGGCAAGAGCAATTCGTGCAAGCGCTACGTAAGGAAATCATTCAACCTGCATCTCCGCGGTTGCATGAAGAAAGAATTCGGGCACGTCTACCACGTTCTGCACGCGGATTCCTTGAAACTGCATCTTCGCTGTTGTAAGCAACAAGCGGGCACATCGATCACGCTCTGCGCGGGATGCAGAACTCTCGTTAGTCATTCCACTTCTCCGTCCTCATCCCCCTAGTCCTTGTCCACGACTGGCTCAAGCAGCCGCGGATGGCGCAGGGAGGTCTGAGTATGAGCCGAGCAGGGTGGGCATCACGAAGGCCATGTACAGGCCGCCGAGGACGACGGCCAGGAGGTTCAGGACGAGCCCGTACTTCGCCATGTCGGCCACGGAAACCTTGCCAGTCGAATAGACCACCATGTTTGGGCCACCAGCCATCGGCAGCATGAAGGCGAAGGAGGAGGCGAACGTCACGACGAGGAGGAACTGCGCGGGATTGTATCCCTTGAGCTGGGCTGTTGCCGCGATGATCGAGCCAAAAATCGACAGGGTAGCCATGTTGGACACCACCTCGGTGACGAAGCAGATGACCGAGGCCACCATCAGCAGAAAGGCCGTCTCGCCGGTCTGGACCGCGCCCAAGTTTTCGGCGACCCAGGCAGCAAGTCCGGACTGGACGGTGCCGTGTGCGATCGCCGCGCCTCCCCCGAAGACGAAGAGGATCTCCCACTGGAAGCTGCCCTTCACCATGTCCCAGTCGAGGATGCCGCGGGCCCGCTGCTCGCCCTCCTGGGGGGGCGCTCGGGAGAGGCAGCGATCCTCCCCGACGAGCCGGCGCCAAGACGCTGGCAGCCGCGAGCCGCAGGGCAGGAAGAACAGAGGCAGTGTCAGTGCGAGACCTATGGAGCCGCTGTTGAGCTCGCTGGCGACGTACTGCTTCCAACCAGGGAAGCTGCCGATGGGAGAGGCGGTGAACCAAAGCACGATGAGGACCAGGAGGTCCGCTGCCACCACCATCTGATCGAAGGTCACTTTGCCGAGCTCCTTCTGCATGCTGCGGAACACCTCCCGGTCTATGGGGATGCGCTCTTTTGCACCCCAGACGAATACGGCGCAGAACCCGATCCAGACGATCGTCAGCAACACGAAAGAGAGGGGGAGGGCGCAGAGGAAAAACTTCGCGAAGGAGAACTCGCCCTCCGAAGGCCAGAAGATCTCGAACTGTTCCATGAAGATACCATTGGTGGGGGTACCCACAGGGGTGGCGATGCCGCCGATGGTCGCGCTGTAGCCCATTGCCAGCAAGAACGCGCCCTGAAATGCCTCGTGACCCGCAGGCATGGTGTCCAGGAACCCCCGTGCCACTGGGAGCATGCAGAGGATCGTCGCTGTGTTTGAAATCCACATGCTCAATAACCACACGCTAACCATAAAACCTGCAATCAAAAACTCGATCCGCGATCCGGCTCGACTCACGATGCAGCAGGCGAAGTGCGAATGAAGACCCCAGCGCTCGATGGCCAGACCGATGAAGAAGCCAGCCACGAAAAGGAACGACGTGCCACTGAAATAGCGGCTTGCGAGATCGCTCATCTTCACGACCCCGAGCAGCGGGTACATGACCAGGGGCAGGAGGCTGGAGATGGTCAGAGGAATGATCTCCGTAAACCACCAGAGAGCCGTGATCAGGAGCACGGCCGCGGCCTTCGAGGCATCGGGCCTGTCCGGGTCCAGGTCGATGGACAGGAACAGCGCCAAGAGGAGCGCCGAGAGCACCAGGACGCCGGCCTCGAACCGCGCCGACCTCTCGGACCGCGTGCCGCCCTTGGCCTCGGCGGCGTCGCAGGCGCTGGAAGTGGCGTCGGAGCTGCTGCCAGCCCGCGGCTCCTGGGCGGCGGCTGCGGCGACGGGGCTGGGACAGCACTGCGCCTGCGCCTCTGCATCGAACTCCATGCTGCGACCAGCATCGACCGCCCGAGGCGACGTCACATTCAGAAGCGTGGGGGTCTCCATGACGCGGCGCTTCCAACGGCCGGTGCCCACCGAGGAGGAGGCTCCTGCTTCGATGCTCAGAGGGGGAACCGCCGCGCTGCTCTGACTTTGGCTACAGTGGGCCCGTATAGTACAGTCATCGGCCTGACCTAAGGAACGAGAAATAAGGAACGACGCCATTTTTCCAAGGAGTGACGCATGAGGAACGGTAAACAACACATAACGCATGAAGAACGATGAATAACGCATGCAAGCCCAAGGAACGACCGAGCCCCTTTTGAAAAGTAAGTGTTCCTCACTCACGCCGCTCACTGTAAGGATGCGCGACGCTGGGATATGTTGGGCTGCGGGCGGCCCAAGCCCTGTGAGGGCGCAGGGGTGCCCTGGCCCGCCCCCCGTTCTTGGCGATCTGGCGCCGCAGCACGCAGAGGCAGGGACGCAAGGGCATCCTGGGAAAGGCGCGTGTCCAGATCATAGTTTTGACGGTACACGTCGATCGGAAGAAGTAGGCAAAAACATGAAGTAGGAAGGCGGATTAAGTGGATTGGGTCCAGGCCCCCCCAGGGAATACCAACACACAGCAAAAGCCTGTCGATTCTTGAAGTAGGACGGCGCTCGAAGTAGATTGGGATCTGGGAATCCAGAAATACCTACTTTCAATGACCGGCGTGTAAGGATGCAAGGGCCTTGGACGCCCATTCCGAAGCGTTTGGAGCGGGGCGCGGCCAACGAAAGTGGCCAAGGATGGACCGAGGAGGCGAGGATGCAAGGGTACCCTTGGGAAGGTTGCCCATCCTTGCCTTGCGGGTTGATTATACTTACCAGACCACCCCAACCTGACACGAAGACCCGAATTTCGGGTTTGCGGGGGTACGTGTTCCACACGTGTTTTTGTTTAACGTTCCCCGGCGCCCCCCCCCATGGGAATGGAGGGCAACTTGGGGTCTTCGGGTTGGTTTGGGGTGGTTTGGCGGGTGGTGAGTTCAAGCCTCACATCAGGCTTCAAACAGATCTGCCAGACTTGAAGGACAAGTCGAACACCTTGAAGTCATGCGTGTGTTACCATGGGGTGCCATACTTCCATAACTCTATTGTATGACATGCTGTGCTGCGTACTCTTGCGTAGTCCCTCATTTTCGCATCAGACTTCCTCGCAATGCTCTTCATCAACCTGAAGCCTCGTGGAGTCCGTGACTGGTGTCTTGGGTCTTGTGTATGTTTACCTGGAGTATCCTCCTCTTCTTCCTTCCTTGTTCATCTTCTCCTCTTCATCCTCATCCACCCTCATCCTCCTCCTCATATGTCTTGTGTCCCTCTCCTACTCCTTCTCCCTCCTCCCCCTCATCCGCAACATGCTTCTTCGTTCTCCATCTCGGCCTGCTCCTCCTCCTCCTCCTCCTCCTCCTCCTCCTTCTCCTCCCCCCCCTCCGCCTCCTCCTCCTCCTCATCCTCCCTCTTCCATCTCCTCCTCCTCCTCCTCCTCCTCCTCGTCCTCCTCCCTCCTCCTCCCTCCTCTTCCATCTTGTCCCACATGTCCTCCTCCTCTTCCTCCTCCTCCTCCCCAAAAATCAATCCACGGGCCGCCCGCCCGGGACCGGATCGCAGACGGCCTGTCCGCCCTGGCACCCGCACGCGTGCCCTGCCTCCCGGGCAGTCTCGGGGGCTCTCCGAGGGCCCCCCCCCCCGGCCAAAGCCGAGGCGGAAAGTTATATCCATGACCACCGCCGGGGGGATCGCTCTTCGCGGACCTCCACAGGCGGCGGATATGGATGTGTTCGGGCCCCCGGGGGCCAACATTTCTCCAGATCCACCGCCCGCCAGGACACCAGGATGTCAGTTCCAAGGCGGTGGATATGGATAAATCCCCGACTTGCACCAACGACGTCGGATAATAATTAGTTCGACGAATGGCTGCAGGAGAGGAGCATATGGCCATACCTCTGTAGGAGTGCATCGCTTTCCTCTCCTTTCCCTCCTGCCCTGCCTGCAACACGCCTCCCTTCTGTTGAGAATGGCTCTTGCGAGAACCCCAGTTGGGGGGAAGCCACAGGTTCGCAAGCTCTCCAGATATCTCAATGTGCTGAAGATGTCTGCAGCAGAAGCTGTATTTTTGATGTGGAAGCTCGCAGCTTATGTGTCTTTCAAAGGCTGAATCTCGTGAGGATGTCTCAGGCGAGAGATCCGCTCTTGAAGATACGTGGACATTGTGAGCTCACTGAACATCTCCATGTCCTGGTAATGTCTGCAACGAGAGCCTCGTTTCTGATAACAGACGTGGGAACGCACCCGTTTCGCCATCCCACGTTTGTGAGGATGTCTCAGGCAGGAGCCCACTGCTTTCCAACATGGTGAATCGCGAACGAGCTCCACATTTGTATTTTCGGATGTTGCCTGAGGCGAAAGCTTTGTCATCGAAAGCAGCGTTAGGTCGGGCATGTCCCCCTACAGGCGGATTTTGGGCGAACAATAAAAAGTGGCCAACAAATCCGCCGGCTCCCGTGTGGGGCCACCAGGCTGTAGGCCTAAGGTTCGCAATTTCCTGTACCAGTTGCAGCTTCCAGTTTCCACTGTTACAGTTCTGGTTCTTGCTGCTTACTGATCCTTATTGACTTCTTGCTGCTTACTGTTCCTTGTTGATGGACCGCGCGAGGTGGGAGGCCCAAAAGGTGCAATTTTACCACGCCCTGAGCGTGTGCTCTGAATTGCTGGGGTGGATCAAGAAAAATACATCACTCACGCAGATCGGCGGGGTCAGGGTCCAAACACACAAGGGATTTGCCACATTTCTGAAATTCGGCGGCACCCCTCACGCAGATCGGCAGGGTCAGGGTCCAAAAACATAAGGGAATTGCCACATTTCTGAAATCCGGCGGCACCCCTCACGCAGATCCGTAGGGTCAGGGTCCAACGACTCATGGGATTTGTACATGTCTGAAATCCGGCGGCACCCCTCACGCAGATCCGTAGGGTCAGCGTCCAAAAAAACACATGGGATATGCTACATTTCTGAAATTCTGCGGCACCCCTCATGCAGATCGGCGGGGTCGGGGTCCAACAACTCATGGGATATGCTACATTTCTGAAATTCTGCGGCACCCCTCACGCAGTTCGGCCGGGTCAGGGTCCAAAAACGCATAGGATTTGCCAGATTTCTGAAATTCGGCGGCACCCCGCACGCAGATCGGCAGGGTCCGGGTCAAAAAACACATGGGGATATGCTACAGTTCTGAAATTCTGCGGCACCCCTCATGCAGATCGGCGGGGTCGGGGTCCAAAAACGCATGGGATTTGGTACATTTCTGATATTCGGTTGCACCCCTCACGCAGATCGGCCGGGTCAGGGTGCAAAAACATATGGGATTTGCTACATGTTTTAAATTCGCTGGCACCCCTCATGCAGATCGGCGGGGTCGGGGTCCAAAAACACATGGGATTTGCCACATTTCTGACATTCGGGGGCACCCCTCACGCAGATCGGCAGGGTCAGGGTCCAAACACAAAACGGATTTGCCACATTTCTGAAATCTGGCGGCACCCCTCACGCAGATCCGTAGGGTCAGGGTCCAACTACTCATGGGATGTGCTACATTTCTAAAATTCGGCGGAACCCCTCACGCAGATCCGTAGGGTCAGGGTCAAAAAAAAACATGGGATTTGCCAGATTTCTGAAATTCGGCGGCACCCCTCACGCAGATCCGTAGGGTCAGGGTCCAAAGAACATATGGGATTTGCCACATTTCTGAAATTCTGCGGCACCCCTCACTCAGATCCGTAGGGTCAGGGTCGAAAAACAAACAGGTCCCGACACTGCTTCACGGCGGCGCCCAGACCTCATGATTTAGCTTTTGCATCTCCCATTATCCGAGACAGGGGGCTCGCGGCATGGGGCGAAGCCCTTACGGATAAGCAATCATAGCCAACACAAGCGGTAGACAAATCGTCCCCAGACTGATCTTCGACCATTTCTGAATCTTCCTCCTGTAGAGGGACGCGCCCGACTTAAAAGCAGCGTCGCAACTGAACTCCTCTCCAGAATCCTTGTCTTTTTATGGAAACGGACTCTATACACCGACGCCTTTGTCTGGCCTCACACTGAATCTCGCACAGGGAAGCGGATCCTGGTGTATACATTCTTCTTCGTTTCCCCCCGGAAAACGGGGGAAACAAGTATACACCACACCACCCCGTCGTCGTTCCCGACCCTCAAAAAGTCCTGGGATTGAGAAGAAAACGCCCGCCACTAATGTGTGTATATATATATATTCTCCAATTTCCGATGTTTGTTGTGAGGAGGTCGTGCGAGAGACCGCCACCCCCGCCACACCGTTCTGACCCGGGTCAATCCAGACCCGGGTCAGCAGGAAACCAAAAACTGCAACGCAGGAGAAAAAACTGCAACGCAGGTCTTCGCAAACCCGGGTCAGCCAACACGAGCGGCCGCCTCGCGGCCACGAGCGGCTCGCCAACCCGGGTCAGCCACAGGGGGCCTTCGCAGGATCCTGCAGGATCCGGCGCCCTGGCTGACCCCCGTCTGCACTGACCCCCGTCTCGAGGCCCCCGAACCGTGACGGAGACACGGCTCCGGGGGTCGAGCGGCCAAGACGCACGATGACCGCGCGCCCGGGCCCGCACCAGCAGGAGGCAAGCAGCCCCCACCCCCCACAACAACCACCCCGACAAGCGTTGCATTGCATCCTCGGGGGACCTCGTCTGTCCCGTCGCGACCCTATCCGCGTCGAATCCGTGTCGAATCCATGTCGGCCTCGTCGGATCCGTGTCGAATCCGTGTCGAATCCGCGTCGAATGCCCGCCAAATCCGCATCGAGGCCACATCGAGCCCGCGCCAGGCACAAAATTACTCCGACGGAAGGACCCCGCATGAGAATCCTCTGGGCGAATCTGGAAAAAAAAGCCCTCACCGTCGTCCTCGTGGTTGGTGAGGCGTCATGGCTGTGTCTTCTGCGTATATTTCTTCTCGCCCTGGCGCGGGCCCTCCCCCCGCTCCCTACGTTGCCCCCGACCTCGCCCTCCTGTTTTAGCTCCAGACATTCAGAAAGTGGCC